CTTTACTTAATTACTATCTCTTCTTCTCTCTCTCTCTCTCTCTCTCTCTCTCTCTCTATTTATCTATCTATCTATCTGTCTCTCCCTGTCGCTATATACCACATGGCGCTCCGATGTTTGATGATCATTAACGAGCGACATTAATAGGGCGATAAAGCAGCACATCGATAAATATGCCTCGTCCAATCGGATACGATAAAATAGCGTTATTGCCGGTCACAACTGAATCAGTTTTGAATTATCCTCCTCGCGATGATATATAGGTCGATATACGATATACAGCGCATCGAATGACTGGCAAACAAGTACAGAACGACCGGTAACCTTTTAACTGATGACTCGTAACTTTTGGAATTATGCTTATCGGGCGGAAGTTTGCCATACCGATATTACCTCGTTCCATCGATGTAAAATCGTACAACATCGCTTTTCGCTTTCTCGCAACTTTGCCGAGGGGTCATTCCGGATTTCATACGATCAGAGTTCGCGCGTCTTCAGGACTTCCATCTATGTAAGCATATCTTCGAGTACATGAGAACTTCGCATCTTCGCGAATATGATGACAACGTGAAGATATGAAGAAAGTCGTTCTCTCGCCCCGTCGCTTATCGTCGAAGGACCTCGTATCGACGATTTTGACGACTACGACAATTTCTCTGGCATGATCGTAAAACGATTTAAGAGACGCCGCGATAAAACCGACGAAATTTGCGTGCTCTCCTGCTAAAGTACCGATGTTGATAATTTTGTGAGACTTAAACGACGTGTCGAGAACATTTCGCGATTCAATAAGACGTGCCAAATTTATTAGACCGATGAACGATCGTATCGATATTGGAACGTTCACGTTGAAATTATAATTCACGAGAGAAGGGAATTTGTATATTTTTCGTATATTTTTTGCACTGTCGCTAATTACTCGTGTGCTTTTTACGGGTATTCAAGCGGCAGTCCATTTATCACTCTCCGGAGCCATTCATCGGGAGATCAGACGGCTAAAACTCGCAAACTCGAATTTCAAGACTTGCCGAGGTCGAGTTACGAGCCATGAGAACGGAGCAACGATTCCTCTCCAACGGCCGTTTCCATTAATTCTTGATTCCTGCCCGCGTAGTTAAGTGTAATCCGATTATACGTATATCGATGTGTTTCTCAATAAATTAGCTGAGAATCGGGAATGCGACCGAGCCTTCGTCAGATTAAAGGATATATTTGTTTTAAAGCGCCTTCGCAATTGCGGGCTTTAACATTGAGATAAGATTGCAACATAATTCGCGAGTAACGTTACGAGACTCTTTACGTTTCATTTTCATCATATGCCCGTTCGTGCACGAAATGTAAAATGGGAGTCGTAGAGTTTATAACAAAGAAGCGAAACACAAGATGGGAAGAGTGGTGAGAAAAGAGCAACTTGAAAATAAGAAAAGCAAAGAAGCTGGAGAAATAAGATGTGGAAGGAGAGTGGCAGAGAAAACGTGAGAAATCGAACGAGCTCGACATCGTCGTCCGACAAGATGGATCGTAGAGAGGCGATAATCGGATTCTTCGTTCTAAACCATGATCGAACCAACGAAACTGAGACATTAGTTCTATAGCAATCTTAATACATGGATATTTATTACACGTATTGTAACGGAAAGGAAAAAATTGGAAAGGAAAAAAAATTAATCGAAGAAAAATTATAGACTGTGATAAAAAATGTGACAGGAAAAATTCCAAGTTCTTATATTTTCTTATCAATTTATAATTCAATATTATAATAACGATAGTATTAACAAAGATGTAAATTTATCAAGGTTTATGTTGATAATTATATAACGATTATATAACGGGAAAGCAACGAGATTCCAGCGTATTGTAATTCAGACAATTGAATGACTTCAATTGTCTAACTGCAATTCGGCATTGTCAACAAATGCGACGAAGTCTCGGTTGTGACGCGAGGGAAAATTTCGGCTCTTGAAACTTGTCTCGAGACGTTCGTTACGCGTACAAGATTCTTGAACGAGACAAGAACGCTCTGGGCAGCAACAACTTGGTAGAGGGAAGTTGATGAGGCGAATATCATCGGCTAGGATAACTTTGTACTTCGTGTGACTATTACTTGCTTCTACCTGGCCTGGCCGATGTTGTCGCAGATTCAAGGTAGTTTGCAAACAAAGTCGGGGCCAAATTGTTCATATTCGTCACATCGCAAACGAAGTCGCCGCTCTCGAAAGATGGGGTCCCGCTTTTCAATTACATGGTCAGGAAAACCTGCAACTTTTTCCGCGCTCCGCGGAATCTATTTTGCATTTTCTCTGGATGGCCAACTTTGTACACAGACTTCGATAAACCGTTTTAGATTTGCGGACGGTGAACGAAGTTAAAGTTACAATTCGCTTTTCCGGGATCTTGTTACCGTTGATCATGGATATTTCGTTTCTGAGAGCTCGTTTGTACTGTTTAGACTTAATGACGTATCGATTCGCGGTATAGCGAATCACCGGAGGAATCTAGAGTTGTAATGGGAACCTCGTTGCAAGAGGAATCCTGTTATCCTGTTTCATCAGTTTAATTAACGAATGATGCTCCTCTTTAGAACCAATTATTTTCTCTATGCGATTATTATCTCTTTCTTTTCTTAGGATTTATACGCGTGCAAATTCATAAACGTGTACAAATTAAGCTCATATTTTATAACTTTATGATTTACAAAGAAATATTATTAATAAATTTTCATATAAAAACATTATTTTACGTTATATAATTTTTGTAATATATTATCTATGCGTATCTATGTATGTGTGTAATGCGATCATTTGCAGAGTCTGGTTTAATTATTACCAATATATTTTGGAATTCATTTCATTATACATATTACATTGAAAAAAATAAATATTTAAAAATAGAATTATTCTATTTCCAATAAAAATATACTATTGTAATTCTCTCTTTATATTAATTATTATCAAATATATTTCCTATATTTTAAAAATGTATTAATTTATTATGAATAAATATAGCTATAAAACAAGAAAAAAGGACTCATTTGTAAGAACGTGCAATTTTACGTTTAGTCGGAGACTTTTATTACGGTTTGTTAATGGAAACAAACGCGAAAAAAAAAAAAGCGTGCTCGAAGGAAACGGCATTTGGCAAACAACAAGCGAGCTTATTACGACCACCTTCTCTGCCAGACGGTCGCGCTATATTTTTTCCATATTAAGAGAGGCAATCAAAAGCATTCAAACAGGACGGCGAGACATTTTCCGTTTCTTTGGCACTGTATAAAATTCGTTGGAAAAGGAAGAAAATTTCCCTTGCTGTGCCATCGCCTTCGCATATAAATGAATAGAATGGATAAGTTTCTTGCTCCGGATGTTCTCTTGCTGTTGCATGTTCGCGCGACGCGATGAATCTTCGAATCAACGGTTCAAATGACGCCAAATTGACATCAACGTCTCCATCTCACACTTATTCAAATATTCTTCTTCTCAATTACCTATAATTACCTACCATTTTAGAAACAACTCAGAGAAGTTACATTAAAAAGGGGGATGAAATTAAGTTTGCAAATTCCTTTAATATTTATGAGCTCTACTGTATGTTCATTAACTTTTTTATCAGGCCATAAATTTAAATTCGCTCTCTCTAGATTTCGCCGAGGTCAGTGAGCGCTTCGGCGCTCTATACACTTTCATTATAGAAATCTAACGCTGAAAGCGCAGCGCAGCGTAACCGCCGTGTTTTCTTCCGTATTTCCAGGGGCGACTGCTGGGAAAGGCGGACGCGTACTTCAGTTCCTTTCGGCGTTGCAACTACCCGCGAATCAGGGCGCCCAACGCCACACCCGAGATAGTTTACGAGTGCGCGAGGTACTCCAGGTACGTATTCTTGTATCGCTGTATTCCCGTGTCGAAAGCGAGCGAGGACACGTAAACACGTGCCTTTGATTGACGAAAGAGTGGAAGGAGTTTAAAGATTACGGGTCAAACGGTCTGAATTCCGAAGAACGATCGTTTCGTGATCTATTCAAGTCGTTCTCACGAGTCATTACAGGCGAAAGGTAAACGACTTCGTCATTGGATATCGAACATTTCTTATCGAACTTATCGTGGTTTAACTACTTCGTAAATTTCATTTCAAGATCAATCATCAAGATTACAGCATGCATCATACTATGATGATAAAGTTATGAACTGCTTGCACCACACGGTAATAAAATTAAAAATAAAATTTATATTTATATTTAAAAGAAATTTTTATATGCGATGTCTTTTATAAATAATTAACACGATCTAATTAACACGATCAAATTGAATGCTTGTTGGAAATGAACATGCATCATAAATTATGCGGAATTTGAATTATACAAGGCACGCTACGCGCGTGGTGAAAAAAAAATTCGCATGCATTTACGACCCGATCACGAGAGGGGATAATATTTGAAGTTTTGACGACGGACGGGTTAATTTGAGTTCAGGAAACGCGAATCCGAATAATTTCAACCGGGTTCAAGTGGCCTGTATAACTCGTGAAATAATTCCGCGCGGAATGTTACGTGTGTGCGGATGTTACGATCGCGCGAGAAAACGGGACATATCGTGCGGTAAAAACTTTCTTCTTGAACTACGTCGGTTCTGCCGCGCGCGGTCGTAAAAATCGCATAGTCGCCTACGGCATTTGAAACTGAAGCACTGTTATTAACAAAGAGAATTATAAAGAGCCGGGGGGAAACAAGAGAAATGAATGCGGTACGTTTCCCTTTTTGCGAACAAAACAGAGCGTATCATAAATTCACATCAAAAAATGATCATTTTTTTTATTTTATTTAAATCAAGAAAACGTTTTTGTCTATTAATATAGAAATTTATTCAAGATATATCCTCTTAATTTTTTTGAGTATACGATTGAATATGAAATATGATGAAATTAAGCATCATCAATCATTTAACATATTTTTAGATTTATTATAATGATAAACGACAGTAGCTTCAAACACTGTACTGTGTGATTAAAAATATATGTAAGTAACACGCAACGCGCATTAAAGACGCGTTATAAAATAAATTTTCACGAATTAAGTATACAAATGGAGACAAATTTTCGCGATATTAATAATTTTATAATACTATCAATATCAATACAGCAAATTAATCGGTGCGCGTTTGTTTGCGTTATAGCACTGGTGATAATCACAATAATGGACGTAACAATAATTGCGATAACAGCGTTCAAACGCGTGATTAATTGGATTCGTTTCGAGCGCAAAGGTGTTTGCAAAACATACGGTTTTTTTTTTCCATCAAATATCGAATTATCTCTTCCGTCCGCGACTAAACGATCGAAATCTCCGTATTCGGTTCGTAGGATCGGCAGAAGCGTTGAAAACAGAAATTGGGCTTCATTCCACGTCCGAATTACAGTTTCCCCCGCCCGTTATTGACCACGGCGTGCGCCAGAGAGGATTCGCAGTCGAAAATACACGCAAGGTTTTACGCGGTAAAAGTGACGCAATGATCCGTGACAAATTATGAGGAAGTTTCGCCTTTTTTTCTCTCTCTCTTTTTTTTTCCTCGTAGCCTCGTTAATCGATTTAACACTCGCACTCGCGCATCGTTGACGGAGTCGCACGCGCGCGCAATCTGCAATCTGTGTTTCGCAGAACGGCCACGGAGATTGTGTAATTCATCTCGAGTAGTTAATTCAACGTCGCTCGAATCGATGAAAGAGAGAGTTTTGCATGCCCGTTATCTTTCGCGAATGCGCGCGATGAGAATTACGGAGACTTTACGTCATGCATGAATTGTGAACGAACGGTATAATCGGTTTAGCTGCACATGCATACACCGATGACGTCAGCCACAGAATTGCATGGAGATTGTTCTTACTTCACGAGCGCACGTACAATGACGGAAGAGATAAAAAAATAAAGTCGACACGCGTGCACCGCTATTATGTATTTTTCAAAACGCTCGTCAACAGACTGGACTTTATTCTCCTCTCTCAACTGTGTTTTTACTCCGGTATCAATTTTAATTTAAATAGATTTTGACGTTAATATCGCGTCAATTAACGTAAGTGACTATTATCATAATGTAGCTGAAACGAGATTATGGTATTGCCGTAATATTTTTACCTCCGGAAAGTTTCCCTGTAAAAAAGCGTGCATTTCTCATCGAGAGAATATGTGTGTGGCAAACACAAGCGCCGACAATGAGTCATCCGCAGATTTAATTCCGCTTATACTCCTTTCAACGAGATCTCACTACGGAAAAGGATATATAAAAATGTGTATCTCGCATATGCACCTCTGATTTAATTTCCGCAAATTCGTATGTAGGTCGATCTCAATACCATCCGAGCGAAACCGCTCCGCGTTTTCACTCCTTTTTCATCACGATGCATGCTCGGCCGGGTAAAGTTTCACCAACTCGTCGAATTTCATTTGTCATTCATTTAGATTATAGCCGATATACCGATGTAAACCTTTAAAAGGAATTTAATCTTAGCGATAGAATCTGCCGAGTGTGATAGCGAATCGTTGCACTTTGCGCCGCGATTGCCGCGTATTAATAATCATTTTTGTACGTTCGCAGCGTAAATCGCAGCGATGCGGATTACACCGAGTCCGCATTAAATTTTAATATTTTCGAAAATGTACCACGCGAGCAATTTCTCGATTGCCCGAATGCGCTCGGTAGCATAATCGCACGCATACGAAACGCGTTTTTGTAATTCCATTCTCTTTCTCTAATTCAAACGGTATATCCACAATAAGTGCCAATGGTTGATCCGTTCTCTCTTCGCAAATCGGGGATGATTCGATTATTCCGATAAACGCTACCTTTCGAATGGTGGAATCAAAATTTGAAAATTTATCGATAACAATGCGCTTCGTGGTAAACTTTATAAAATAATTTGTTAAACCGTTCAAAGAGATAACGTTTGTATTATTACACCGTTAAAGATTTTCTTTCACCGCTGTCACGATTTTATTATAATGACATTTCGATATATGCGTATAAAATATGTCGGAAAAGTGATAATTCAAAGTTAGCTGACACAGAAAAGCCACGCGAGTTAGCGGGCGTACCGCCCAAAATAAATAGTAGGTCGAGAGGGAATAGTTACAAAAATGTACGAAAACCGAGGGACGTTTAACTTCCCCGCGCTCTCGCTACGATTGATAATCTATTTTTTTTTTTCACGTAACAAAAGAACGAACAATATACGATATTTTACGTCAGAATGTGCGAAAAATATTGTGTTTGGTCGTGGTTAACGGATCAAAACTTCGGGAAGCTAAAAACAGATAATACGATATTTTACGCGACGATATCTCTTGCGAATAATATTTGCATAGACCGAAAAATATTCCACATAGTTACCTTCCGTTTGCGTCCATATCCTGCCGTATCACCCTTTCGTTTTTCGGCATCGATAATTTCAGAGAGAGCCGATTCTTTATTTGGAATATATCCGATTTTATATTTTTTGAATTGCAATGGGAACACAAAGTTCGTTTGCATCCAACGTAATTGTTCGTGAACGTTGCTTTATTATTATATTTTCCGTCGGTGAATTGCGGGATATTTTCCGCGTTTGAGAGATTCAAGTCGCGGCCCTGATACAAAGATCTCAGCTGAGAAATCGCATTACATGCAAATTTCATGGCATGATGCTATTAAATTATTAATTTCCGCGTCTGCTCGAAATAGCAGAAAATTTCGCAAAGCTATAATCTAATTATAATTTAACGTAATTTAACTTAACTTTGTTTAATTTCGCCGTGAAAATTGTAATCGTACATCGAAATGCAATAGCCAAATGATTTCACGTTTCAGTTAGTTCCTGTAATATTATTACATCACAGGATGTAATTATATTAAAATATATTTGCTCCCCGATTTTGCTTGAGGCATTGGTTCGATAAATCCGCGCTAATTTCGTTGTATAAACTGCGCACGTTGTTATTGATTAATGTAGAAAGATAAATATATAAATGTAAAACGCACAAATAATATATTTTGTCAAATGTTGTCTCACAACGAATGCGTCATATATCGATTAGAGCTTCGATGTCACTTGCAAATCGTCCCATTAGGAATTGATAAATAAAATGTCATTTTGCAATCAATAACCGTGTAAATGTGGTGTGTAACAACAAAATACGAAAATATATATCTCAGAAATATATATATATATATATATATATATATATATATGAAATATCGCAACAAGTATCGACAGAATTTTTAACTTTAAATTCAAGTGACACGGAATAGGAATTTTTATCGGTTTATCGAGCGAATCTCTTATCATTAACTTTTCTTGCAGTTTTTGGGACATACCGAGTGCCTGGTGGCAGGCGAGTACAGTCACGATGGGAATTGGCGTCGCAATCGCGGTGATCGGCGCCCTGACGCTTCTGGCAGCAGCGTCGTCGTTCCTTCCGCACATTCTTAGGACACCCAAACACACCAGGATCCTTGGCTCCTTGCAATTGCTCGCTGGTGAGTGTATCATAAATATACCTTTCGCAATTTGTAACAAAATTTAGCGATATGTCAATATGTCGTTACCATCCAATGTGCCGTTACTGACATACGCGAGAGAAAAATATTCTCTGCATATCGTCGAATTAAGCAAAATGGGCGTCGAGCCCTCTTTATCGAGCGGAGGAGAAAAAGCGATGTACCTTCAAAACGACAGCCCGTCCGCTCGTCAAACTGACGCGAAAGCAACGGAGCCACGAGAGACTCGCATTTTGCAGCGAAATAATGAACTGCCAAATAAAATAGATATCATAACGACGTCATTCTTCTTCCAGCATCGACGTATTCCATTTACGCATTTCCAGTCAGTCCGTTGTTCTCGATTTGTTCCTTCTTCTCCTTCTTCTCCTTCGAGGGTCGCTTTCGAAAAATGACAGAGTCGCAGACTCTGCGCGACATGATCGATGCGCGGAAAAATTGGGAATGTCGTAATACTGATTTCTCGAGAGAAAATATATTTGACACAATGCTGAAATCACGAAATTTATGTGTTAACGTCTCTTTCCCACAATTCCCTTTCGAGAGAGGGAGGAAAATTTTGCGAGCCAAATGTTTTTCATCTTCGTGATATTTTCAAGGAGAACTTAATCTCCCCACGACATTATCTACTACGGATAATAATGAACACAAACGAGACCGATCGATGCGGTTTAAAATTGATAGCCCACTTTGATTTGCTTGTTACAGCAGCGATGATATGCGGCGGTCTGGTCATGTATCCGATAGGCTGGGATAATCGGGAAGTACGCGAATCCTGTGGGAAGGGGGCCAACGTTTACAATCTCGGTGAGTACCATCGTCCTCGAAACATCGTTTCCGAGTTCTGTAAGAACGCGATGCGGACGATAGCCGCGGGATACGAGTCGAGTGGAATAGTGCCGGAACTTAAATTCCGACGGAATGCGGCGCGCGAGTTATCGATTTAATTTGATAACTAACTAATTAACGGATCCGACGGACTCGCACGCGCGCGAGGAGAGTTGCTCGCGCTTTAGTCGCTCGTTTTCCAGTTTAACGACGTCTTCAGCGAGAAATTGCCGTTCCGGAGCCGAGCGACGGCAGCGCGGTAAAATCTGCGGATGTATGTCTGTACGTGATTACTCTTAAGAATATAACTATCACGCCTACTACGACGACGACGGTGACGACGGTGACGACGGTGACGACGACGACGACGACGACGACGACGACGACGACGACGACGACGACGACGACGACGACGACGACGACGACGACGACGACGACGAGTC